CGAAAAAATAAATAACATACGAATTCCTTTTTATAAATAAGCTTATATACAATATAATGTAGTTTTTACGAATAAAATAGTGTTATAAATTAATATATCAAATAGATTTCAGAATATTAATTTTTTAGTTACGAAAAAAACTATACAAATTAATAATATATATAATTAATAAAAGATAAATATAAATTATTCAAAATCATATAGAACTAAATTTCATTATATAAAATAACATATATGTACTGTAAGGCAATATTAATATATCATACATTAATCACAGTTTTTCAATAATTAAAAAATTAATAAAAAAGCATATATATATAGGACAGTATATTATTTATTCTAAATAAAATAAATTATTAATGAAATTACTCCCCTCATAAATAACTTAAGTTATATAAGATATATAAAAATTCATAAAACTTCAAAACACAAATCGGTAAACATAACATTAAAATAAAAATGTAAAAAAAAATATATATATTATTATGTTAAATAAATATATATATATAATGATATTACAATTCCAACACAAGATATTAATAGTAGAAATATTTATGATATAAATTAAATCCTAAAAATAAATATAAATAAAATATCATAAAGTTAAATATAAAATCCTAAAACCTAAACCTAATCTCTGAACCGTAAAAACCTAATACCTAATATTTTATAATTTAGCATACCTTTTAGACATACAAGAAAATGTATCATTAAATCGAAATATAATGTACTAATGCAAAATTGTATATGGTTTAATATCTTACCGGTTCATTATTTACACCTTAGTCAAGTAATATATCGAATGTGCTTAGATTATTTATTTTGAAATGTACAACATTAAAATGAAAAATAAATATAGATTATTTATTATAATAGAGAATTCATTTAAATTTTATATCATATTATTAAGAAATTTATTATATATATATAGTACCTTTATAACATTCTGTATGGTGTATAAGCCCCATGTGCTCTGGGAATGATGTATATAATTCTGAAATTAGACAGAATTATATAATATATTATATCTGCTATTCCATAAAATACCTTTGGATGTATGAGAAGGAGCAAGTTTATTCCATTCTTCGTCAGTATAATTACATACATTTCCATTTCTTTTTATATAATTCAACATCAGCGTGCCATATGGGGTGAACTAATTCATAAAAAAAAAAAATGAATTAAATTTGTCATTTATTATAAATAATTTATTTTTTATTCTATTTTTTAATATTATTTAATAGTTTAAGTTATATTATTAGAATAATAATTTACTTTATACAGATTTAATAAAAAAATATATATTAGTGTTATGACAACAATTGGAATTACAACAGTAATTCCTTTATTATTTGTTTGGATTGATGATATCATTTCATATTTATGTTGAACAGAAGTCAACATTAGTGACTTAAAAGTATCACATGTTTCATATAATTCCTTTTCCATCAGTTCACTTCTAATTTTATTTATTGTTATACAAAAATCTAAGTTATTGTTGGATTCACATGTATTCTTGTAGCGATTATATATAATTGCCCATTTCTCTGCACAATTGCACCGCGAATTATTGCAGGATGAATAATTTTGTGTTTTAATATTGTTTATAATTTTATTCATATCATAGATGTCCTGAAGTTTATTCAATATATCTTCATTAATATTATTAACATAATAATTGCATATATAACTATTTTCAGTAAAAAATGGATCAATCAATTTATTATAGACATTTATAATTTCACTATTATATACATTCTTATAAACCTCACTATATAGAAAAAAATATGCGTAAATACATCCTAAATCTTTTTCGTCTTGTTTTAATGATGAATCAGATTTATATAAATAAGCCTGAGTTTTGAAACATATGTCATCCGACATTAAATGAATGCTATTATATTCATTTATAAATTCATAACAATCGTGTTCTGCATAACGGCGTGCTTCTTCCTTATTACGTTCCAACTTCTCCTTGTGTTCGTCAAATATAGTTACATATTTGTACTAAAGAAACAAAGGTATGATAATATATGAATAAATGATTTAACATATTCATGCAAGCTATTTTTCATTTATTTAAGAAATATATAATTTATAATTTAAAAATATTTATACTTATTAATGTGATGATCTATTTATACAATTCTATCTCCAATGATCGAAGACATTATACATAATCTAAATTAAATAAAAAATTATATCAACAATAAGATAGAAATACTTATGCTTTCTATAGTAAATTTTTTATTAATTTGTCTACAAGAATTAGTTTTTAAAACTATAGGGTTTATTTATTATGAATTTATATTACTAAGTTTAAATTTGAGAAACATATTATATTGGTACAAATTATATTAGGTTTCAGAGTTCAGAATTTTATTCACTCAGAATTTAGTGTTTAGGTAATAGGTTTCTTGTTTATGATGCATGCTTTATTTTTCTTAGATATTTATGTACCTTTTTTTTTTTTCGCTAAATTTAAGCTTTAATTATTTTTTATTAATATTATTATTATGTATTTATAAAGAAATCTACGAATATTCTTTATCAATTTGTATTAATATGTTAATTCAACATAAATAATGTATATACTATACCTTAATTATTTATTTTCATATATATATTAATAATATTATATATTACGCGGTATATAACTGTTTTTATTCACTATTTATGCATATTTGTAAAAGTATTAATCAGAGTTTGTTTTTATATTATATTCTAAATCATGAATATTATATGTATATATAAAAAAATAAATAAAAATTTATATTTCTATAATGAATATTATTTATTCTATACATTTAAGTTTTATAATAATAGTGAATTTTTATCTTTTTTATTATATAATACAATACATTAATAAAATTAATATTTTTTAATCATGAAATTTTAGTACATCCATGCAATATAAAAAATATTTTTTATGTCATTTTTCAATTCATAATTTATTTATAATGTTATGTTTTTATAATTTTCATTTTTATCTCTTTTTCATTTTAGCAAACTCTAATTACGCTTGCTAAATATGACGAACTCATTCATTTTATTACGAAATAAAGAAATTTCTACGATTCATATTGCTATGTATAAATAAAAAATAATAAGGGTGTTATTATTTTAATTACTATTTACAAAAAAAATTTTGATTATGTTAATTTCATAACTTTTATATCTTATATCCTTTTAACTATTTATTAAAAAAAAATATATCCTATATAATTTGTGCTCCTATTAAATATTTTTCAAAATGTGACATAAGATATAAAATTAATTATAACTAATTCTTATGTAAATTATATCTTTGAAATAATAATTTATATATAATAAATATTTTAAAAAGCTATAAAAAAAGGAGTATATTATTAAAACTGTAAATCTCAGGCATCAAGTTTTATAGATTTTATTTTAATTATGCATTAGAATTCTTTTAATGTATTTTAATATTTCAATATACACATGATGTATTATTTATTGTATAAGTTATACAACCTTAATTTTTCATTCTTGTATTACTAAAAAAAGTACATTTTTTTATTATAATAAAATATTAAGGAATTATTTTTTCTTATATATTACATAGAATGGTTATTAATTTATCACAATGATAGGATTGATAAAGTATCAAAATTATTACGTTATTGCATAAAAACAATTATATATAAAAAATTAATATATGCGTTATGAAATTATTTTCCATAATTACAAAAACTTAATATATAACACAATTAGAAGAGTGTTTTACTGTATATTACTGAATTCCTAAATGAGTGCGAAATAATCTGAAATATAGAAGTAAACAACAATATATTATTACATAACCATATGAGAATATAAAATAAACAACACATATGATATAACAATATGAATAATTTTATATTTCATAGTGTATATTTTATTTAAAATGATAAAATTTTATAACGTTCAAATATATTTAATTCATTTATCATAAAAATAGGGGCTCTAATATTAAACTTATACCTAAAATGATCATCTAGATTTTTTTTTCTTATTCATATATTTATCTTGCATTCTTCTTTGAAATATTTATAAGTATTTTATCCTATAAAAATTATAACCTTCAGTTGTTATAATATTATTTATTCTTATTTCAAGTAATAAAACATTAACGAGATTATCTAATTAGAAATATTAAGTTTAATATATTATTTTTATTAAATTATATAATAATAAAAATAAATTAAACCCAGTGATATAAAGAACTAGTATGCTATAAATATTATTTATGTACTATTGTATCCATCAAAAATCAGGAACAGTACTCAAAATATTTAAGAAATTTATTTAATGTTGATTGTTATATGAAAAACTAAATATCCTCGTGAATCGTTCTTTAATGAATATTTTATTTATACCATATATAAACTAAGTCATAATATTATTATACATTATTACTTTAATATTTATTTACAAATTTCATTTTGTTTTATTGTTAACAATTTTGGTATTATTACTTGCTTCAGGATTTTCGGATATATTCTTCTTATGTATAAATATTTCTTGGAATTTAGGAATGCGTTATATTTGTTGATTCAATCATTACCAATATTACTGTATTAAATGAAGCAGTTTTTTCTTTACTAGTTAATCGTAGATTTTATTTAATATGTAATACAAAATCATGTATATTTAAACTGTCTCGTGAATATTTGTATTGCACATTACATTCATATTTCCGTATACATAAACTTAGGTATTGAAAATTATTTATTAATTAATATTCAATTTGTCAATTTCAGTAAGTTATATATATTTAATTTTTTATTAATATTCTTGAATTTAACAATATTCAAAAGGGTGTAGGCTGTTTTTTTAAGGATTCTTATTAAAATAAAGCATTCAAAATTAATTTTATTATTATCAAGTGAATAAATAGTAATTATATATGTTATGTATATTAGTTATATTCACTAGTAACTTATTTAATGAAAAGCCAATAAATGTAACAGTCTCCAGTAAAGTAGTATCATATATTGTACAATTATTTTTTGAATTTCTATTTTCCTCATGACTTAAATCCAGTAATAATATTATAGCTTATAGTGGTATATCATTTACTACATAATATTTTATTTCTGTATCTTATATTTTTCAATTAAATTTATGATTTTCAATAAATCTCATAACTTAATGTCCCAAGGACCATCTATGGTAAATATATATATTTTCTTATTCTTTGTATAGAAATTATTCATGTATTGTTCAAAGTATATATGGTATTGTTATGAACTAGAGTAAACAAATGCGTATTTTATATCTTGTATAAGTAGAAAAATTAATAGTTTTATATAAAAAAAATTTTTTTTCTGCTATTTTTCGTAGATATATTTATTAATATAAAATATTAGAAAATCATTAATTCTCTTATATGAATAAAAGTAATTGTAAAAAATTGCTTCTATGAATGACCCACCCTTAAGGATTAAGTATGAAACATTAAATTATTTAATAGTAAATTAAACAATAATGTTATTCATATTAAGATATATATTTGATTTCTCTTTTAGTTAAGAAAAACAAATAAATATATTTCATTAATAATAAAACAGTTAAAAAATATATATATATATCTTCCTTGCTTTTTAAAGTAATTAATCATCTGCAATGATATAAATAAAATTTACTGAACCGTGTAATAAAATAAATATACTGCAAAAAATATTTTTCTTTAAATTATTACATATTTATTTTGCTTTATTTAGTTCATGAATTTATAGTTTCTCCATCTAACAAGTTTATATTTTCTTATATTAAAATATAAATCAGTTATTCTTAGGTTGCACAATATTATAATATACACTTGAGTGAATACTATTAAAATGTTAATACAACATACTTTTCTACATAATTTTCGTATAGTACTAATAATTATTCATAATCATATCATTAAAATAACACACTTCGTATTATTTCTCATATAGAATGTATATTTAATAAGTATTTTTGAAAACATTTTATATAAATTTTTCTGTTCTATTATTTAAGTGTATCTATTTATTATGTATTTAATATATATCAATGTATGAAGTACTATGATATATATACTAAATTAACTATAATTTCTTTGTAAATATTTATTAAATATATTAAGAAATGTATCGTGTTCTTTTGTAAGGACTCGCTTTTGTATTCTTTTTAGACTTATGACAGTTTGAATTTATTATATCATTTGAGTTATATCTTGAACTAGATATTTTCTTTTTAATAATTATTTGAAAAATTATAAATAAATTGAATTAAATTATATAGTATTGTTTACGAAGAGAAATATAATCATAAATGTTGAAATGTATGTGGAATAAGTATTATATATAAGCAATTGATAAAACTATTAAAATAACATTATTTAAATAAAGCCATAATATCTATTTATTTTGTAAATATTAAAAGAAAAAGTGCTAAAAATTATATAAAAAAAAAAAAATTGACATGAAATTTAAAATAATATGTTTTATCTATGTACAGATTATAGTAGCTAAAATGCATTTTTTATGTATTATATCTTATGAAATTCTAACATATTTTAAAATTTTCTTTTTCATCAGAATAATTTTTATTTATTTCCTTTCGACACCAATTTTTACAACCATTATACATATATTAAAAGAAAATTCGTCTTGTCAAATCTCATATCATTTGTGTCCATTTAAAAACATCTTTTTTATCGAAATGAAGAATTATTAAATTTTTACATTTTTAAATAACTGCGTAGAGCCAAGGTTTTGAAAGTATTTATCTATTTACACATAACCAAATTGTAAATATCTTTAATCATTGTCTTTCAGATATCAATTCATATTACTTACTATCTTTAAAACTATTTCAAAAATATATTTATGCACATTCTTATATTTAGAAACTACTTGAGGATTCATATTGTAATTATAATTGATTTCAAATCTGATAATGTATATATATTATATTCAGAGAAAAAATTCGCTGTAACGGTTTATGTATTAGTGGAGATTTTCTATATACTCTTTTTTTTCTCTATGTATGTAGTACTCAAAATATTATAACTGTCTATATTGGCATTATTATATATTTCTATGATATTATTAGGTAAGCTTTAAAAAATTCTCTCAACAAAAAGTTTCATTTTATTCTATTTAACAATAATATAGGTTCTAAATAATTTTATAATCTTATTTATTCATAATTTTCTAAATTTAAACATTCATAAATTAAGATTATATTATATAGAAATTCCTTACATTTCTTCATATAACTGTTGTAAGAAATACAAGATACAATAAGATCCAAATCCATTTTTTGAAAAAATAATTAATAAATTGTAAAACTACATTGAAATAAAACTTAAATTTAACAATATTATTTAATCCTTATACATGTAATATACATTCTTACCTACATTGAAGAAAAATACTAAATTGTAGTAGTTATATATGCATAATAAACAGAGAAGGTAAGTTACATAAAACTAAAAGAAAAATAATTCTAATTATAAAAAATGCTGAACAATAAGTAGTTGAGGCAAGGGTATAACAAAATATAAAAGTAATTGTATTTATAATATTCTAAGTACATACTATATTGAACATGTTCCACTTATTGTTCCTACTTTGTTATTGTTATAAGAATAGCTTTTAAATTAATTATATAACATTTTTTATGAATTATATTCTAGCATATATTAATATAATATCGTACGTATAAGTAGACACATAAATTTTTAATGATTTCTTTTCCATATTATTCAATCAAAATTCAACTTTTAATATATAAGAAAAAAAAAAAATTATACATTTTGTTCTATTTCAAGAACAGTTAATTCAATATTGAATAAAATTTTTTTTAGAGAAATTAAATTGTTTCCTCAAAGAAATAATAAAATTATATTAGATTATTATCATATATGATATTAACCTCAACAATGAATACACAAAAATATGAATATAATTAAAACTGTCTTAATTATAATATTAAATAAAATATCCTATATCGAATTACATCAATGAATATAAAATTTATACGTGTAACTTATAATTTACTTTATCTGAGATGGCATAACACATATACATAAATCAAAATAATCATATATAATATAACTAAAAATTTTAATATTTCACTTTAATTTTTTATTTATTAAACCTAAATTCAGAAAATACGACTTTATTATAATAATTTAACCCCAGAAATTATATTTTTTGATGTATTTTTCATAATTTTGTTTTTAATGATAAAATGTATTAATGTTTAGTTAATTATATAAAATATACCTATTCTGTTATAATTCAAACATGTAATACTTCATTATGCACACAATTTATTCATAATATAAATAGTGTTAATTATTGCTGTAATTTAATATAAAACGCAATATTTTTATTCATATTGAGTATTTTGGTAGTAGTGTTATCATTCATGACAAGCAAAAGCAAAAATTTCTCTTGATCAATATGGTGCAATAAAAAGTTTTTTTTAAAAAGATTTATTAAAATATATATCATTTTATATTATTTACATAATATCAAAATTCCCGTAAACACAAATTTATTTTTTGTTATATATTTTACATATAATGGAAGTATTCAGAAAAACAATATTTTTAAAAAATAATATCTATATTTTATTTATGATTATTTTTTATAGTGAGAAATATTTATATTACATATATAGTGAATTTTAAATTTTAAAGTACATATCATATTTTCAGTAAAATAATCTGTGTTATAACAATATGTTTATAGATTTACATATTAATTACCTATGTTATTTTTACAATGGGTTATATATTACATATTTTATGTTATTTACATTTCGAAATATATCATTTTTAATTTTGGAAATGAAAAAGTAGAAGTTGATTTAATAAAAAAATATACATAGGAATTTTATTCATGAATAATTGAAAAACATAAACGTAAATAAATTAAATATTTCATATTACCTATATTATAAAAAGTTAATATTTTATTTTTAAAATAACATATATATCACTAAGAATTATTAGTTCTTAAAAATATGATACTGTTTAACATATATATAGTAAATAAAATTAATGAATATATATATATATATAGGGTATATAAGGACATTATTTTTCGAATTAAAAACTAGATAAAATAATAATAGCATAAATAGAATATTCAAAAAAGTATAATTTTTTTAATTATAATATAATAATAAATATAATAACTTCATATACTGATACAAATGATTTATTAGTATTATATTAGTGCTTACTAATTAAATTTTAACAAATAAAAAAATAAAACGGTACATTAATTAATTGTGCCAGTAAATATTCAAAAATATATGATACTGTATATATAGACTCTGCCTTTATATATATATTTTATTAATTCATGTAATGTGTTATATTAACACATATACACTAAAAAAATTAATATATATTGTTCTAATATTATACATATATGCCAAAATACAACATATAACATAATTCATAATATTGCCTTTAATATATATAAATAAGAAATTTATTGAATATTTATCCAAGAAACATTGTGAATTTATACAAAATCATAATTAAAAATATGTAAATATAAATAATATACAGTATACACATAAACCTAAACACTAAACCATACACACTGAATCCTCAAATAAAAATTTTAATCTGCGTTTATTTTACTCATTTTTATCATATTGATACTTGTAGTTCATGCTAGAAATTAAAATCTAATAATACCGCATAATAATTATTATGGAATATTATTCAGTGAAATATGCTATATTAAAAACATTACTATCATAATATCGTGCAGGGGATTCCAATAAACTCTCTCCAAATTTTTCTCTCCATGATTCTTTTACATTATACCACAATTTATCATTATTAATAATTAATAATTTTTTTAACCTTTTGGCAATTGGACGAAACTAAAAAACAAATTACATACACAAAGAATATATTTTTAATGAATATTATATGTATTTATAATTTAATATTTGATGTTGCACATAATAATTTCTTAAAATTTTTTTTTTATATACTCTATGTGAAAAAGGCAATATAAGGCATATGGCCAAGACAGGTAGAAGAATAATGTATACATATTTATAGGATGCATAACGATTTTCATCAGCAGGGCGCAATACACTTTGTTCTTCAAATAATTCTCCCGATTTTTTATCTCCATCCAAGGATGAATCTAATTGCGGCACCTTATATTCATTACATTTTAATGTACTTAATTCATTTATTACATCTGTATATTCAGACTTTATGTTATCATATATTTTGCAATATACATTTCTGAATGTAGAATTACACTCTGTGTGTATTTCATTGTGCGTAGCAACCGCTCTTTTAATGTATTCAATCTGTTCAGGGGTACATGAATAATTTATTTCATTCAGAGTATATTCAATTATTTGATGGTTTATAGAATAATCAAAGTATAATTTAATTTTTTTAAAGTGATCTATACTAATTGATTCTACAGGTTTTTCAATTTTATAACCTTTGTAAGCTTTATTTAGTATTTCATAACAGGTAGATATAGTAGTATTAAACTCATCTTCACCCTTAACAACATTAATTATTTTATCTCCTAACCAGATGTAAAATATATTATTAAATTTATTATCAATTTGATTTTTGAATTTATATCGCAAAAAGCACATAGCATTTCTAAGTTCATTTAATAAAATATTACTAATATTGTGATTTTGTAATTCATTATATATATCATCTTCATCAGTTCCTTCACAATAAGAAGATCTATCTTGATTTAATTTGTTATATTCTTTGTTGATAAAAAAAATCGATATATCATTTTCCTATAATTTGAAAGGTAACAATGAGATACATAATTAATATATATTACTACCAATAAAAATAACTTCGATATATGTATATCCAACATGGAATAATAATGCTATATATTAAGGTTAAATTATTCATACAGCTGAATGCCCTGACATACTTTATTATTTTTAATACCACTCTATATAAAATTGAAATATTTTTATAATAAATTAAAAATATTTGTTAAATAATAACATAACATATACTTGTACAAAAAATATATATTTATATAATTAAAAATTTAAATGCCTTTCCTATTGGGTTTCCTTATTTTATACATTACAATTTATTTTTTACATATTATTACTATATTATAATATATATACTATTATTTTTGCACTGACATGTAATGAAAATAGTATATTCTTTTATTTTTTTAAAATAGTAATATTAATTTTTACATTAATCACAATATATAAATAGTAAATAAAATGAATTGTTTTTTATATTCATTAGTAAATAATTCAATAGAGTATTTTTTCAATAACTAATATAAGTGTGAATATATTTATGATATATCAACTTGTATTCTAAATATTTAGTTGTAATATACAGCATATATATTACTATTCGTCATAAAAAATGGATAATGTTATATTTCTGTGCATTTAAAGAAACATAGAATTTCTTTTTATATTTTATTGAAACATATATTCCTATTATATTTAAGGTCTGTGCATTTAATGCATTACAGCGATATATATTGTTTATATTCTTTTAATACTTATTAATTTCTTAAATTTCATTATTTTAAAATATATTTTTATAAGATGCACTATATCTTTTCTTTTTTATTATACAGAACTTCTTTGATAACATAATTATTTATATTGATTTACATGTGTCATGTACATTAATCATTCCAGGACATATAAAATACATCTTATAATGAATAAATATTAAGTTAATTAATTTTTTATAATTAAGCTATTTGTATATATTCTTTTTTATTGCCACATAATATATATGTATTTAATTATACATATATGCATTTTTACGTGTGTTATATAAATCTATTCTTAAAATTATTATTTAATAACCTAGATATTATTAGTACTTTATAAAGGACATTTTATTAATTCTAAGATGAGGAACTTTTTGGAATTTAGTTTTTTCAAATAATATATTTCATTATATTATATAATAAAAAATATACAAAAAATAAAAGTAAAATTAATAATAATAAAATACTAAAATAAATAATGTTCCTGATATGCACATTGATGAAATTGTAATATAATATATAAGGTATAAAAAATATATGCACAAGGAAAAAATTTTAATATAATAAATTATATTTATATTAAACAATTTATATATATGTTTTCTATATTTTAACACACATATGTATACTATATTTACATTATATTGAATTCTTTTTATGATAATATAAATGAATGTGTGAGTTTAAACCTAACAATACTGGTTATATTTTTAAATTTTTTTGTTACATAATTAATATTCAAAGTTTCTTTGACTTAGATTTTTATTATTACATGTATTACTAATGATATTAATAAATAGTAATTCTTTTTATATATATATATTATTTTAAAATTTAACGTAATATATAGATTAACAAATTAATAATTTATAATATATGACGTAAATATATCATGCACATTAATATTATACGTATATTATTATGTATAGTTATTAGTATTTATTTTTAGTTGCATATGAATTTTGCATAAAATTATCTTTTCTTGCAACTTGAAAATAAAATATATTGATATCAAATAATTTGTGCACTATTATATATATTTTTCACATTCCAAAATTAAACATTACTTATTGCATGAAAAAATAAACACTTATGAATATAATTTTTTCAAATATAATCATTTGTTTAATATAATCAATTAATACCATAATGTAAATTTATGACCTAAATGAAAAATTTTATTATATGATAAATTATTATATTTTTTTCTTTCTAATACATATAGCGAATAGCTAATTATGTATAGTACTAGTTAATATTTTTATTTTTTCCCTTTTATATTATAATACTAAAAATTATATTGCATAATATAAATATCTGATTTAAAATGAATATTAAAATAATAAACATTATATTTATACTATTTCAAATATAAAAATTATTAATAACATATATTAAGCTATTATATATGTTCATAAGAAAATATGAATGATATTAAAAAAAGATCTCCAATAATATACATAATCTCCTTATTACAGTTTAGAGTGAATTATATAGTTTCGTTCCACATAAATATTATTCATTAATATGGTTATTTTTCTTTTTAATAATATATATTTTTTTAATGCATAGTTTTTTTATTTCTAAATAAGTTATAAAAAAAACTAAATAATATCTATATATAAAAAAACTTATTGTGATACTATAAATATTAAATTAAATATGATAATTTATTATTATCTTCACTATGATAGATTTTTATATTTTAGACATTCTTTATAGGAAATGTGTATTTTAAATTTAACATGTATCTTATTGTTATTACTAATATAGTATTGTAGACACGGTTATATATTTAATATTTAGGATTCACAATTTTATTATATTTTCTGAATTTCTATTATTTTCCATGTTCTATTTAAAGGAAAATGAATATTTTTATGTTATAAAACATAAAATAATTTTATTGTTATGCATTTTAAATTATATATTATTGCATCGTTTTGATGAAATACTTCTTTTGAAATAATAATAGGTTAGTTATTCTCTTACATGCGTTTTTACATTTAACTATATTTTTTTGTGTTATATATTTTTATTTTGTTATTTCTTTTATATATGATAACATTAAAATTTTATATATAATATTTCGTCATATTATTTATTTTATTATTTTCACCTTATGAACTGTGGCCATATGTATCTAAAATAATATTTCTATAATATATATATCTATTACATTAATCATCATATTAGAGTTCATGTTTTATATGGAAATCATCATATAATAAGTGTCTATTCATCTTATCAGTATTAATGCTTTGCAATAAAATATATTTTGATAACGCAAACAGGCAAATTATTTTTTTTTTTTTGGTATATTTATATAAAAAATTTATATGCCACTGGAAATTTTCTACGTATATGTTTTAAATTTAAGAACATAACAGTTATTGTCATTATATGTTATATATAGCGAAAAAAAGACAAAGAATTCATAAATACCCTGCATGAATAATGAAGAAACCCATCAAAAAATTAATAAATTCTTAGAAATATAAAGGAGGGGAGTACATAATCATATAAAAATTAAAATAAAGTGAATCATTATACAAATAATAAAATAACAGAAGAGTAAATAATGAATTATATATGATCTAAAATAAAATGTTTTCTATGAGAATTGATTTTTATTATAAAAAAAAAATATTATGAAAACATGACACAAAAAATATTTTAAAGGCACAAATAATTATTAAAAAATATACGCACTTTCATAAATATATCCCTTCTTTTATTTTCTCTTTATATCATTTTATATATATTTGAGGTTGTATTATTCTAGTAGACATCGCAAGAATATGAATTAATATTTTTTATGTAATAAAAATTCCACTAATCAACTTATTTATACTTATTTATATTTTTATGAAACATTATTATCGGAATTCTAAAATGAACATATAGAAGCACAGAAACATATTATAATAATACATTGATATATTTACATTAACAATCCAATATTTATACAGTAAAATAAGTAGAAACGGATATTTAAATATATTTTTATAGAAAAATGTTTAATGTAAAATACATTACACTACGAATTTATATAATGAACCTTAAAACATATATACATATGATTCATGAATAAGTTATAGAATATTACTTTTATTTGTATAACTTTATTTTTATTCATGTTAATTAATTAAATGTGTTTTTATAAATACACTGCGATATTTTTTACAGATATATATATCTATATACACAGTTATTGTGAATTCATAAATATCGAAATTAATGCACATAAGTTTTCACATTTATTTTTTTGTTACATATAATTTTATTGGCATTATATATTGACGTATAGCTATAATGCTTTTCATGAAATTATGATAATCAGCATATTAAAATCATAGTTGTTTTAAAAAAATTTCATTTTATTTACTTAATTTTTACTTCATGATGTATGAATTCGAAAAAGGAAAAACATGTAATTTGCATTATTTTAAATATACACATGTCTAATTCGGAGTATTAGGAAAAATAAATATTATAGCTTTTTATATATATATTTTACTGTTTTAAAAAATAAACATAATAAAAATATCTTTACAGATTATATCATCAATAAATTTTTTTATCAAATGTTACATGAAATATATTAAATTATTTTCATTCAGTACCATTATAATGATATTCTTCATCTTTTATAGGAATGCGCTGAACAATACAGATATTACGCATCTACTGATTACAAAATAATAATACATAATTTATGAATCTGAAATGATTTTATATAAATATTGTACATAATAGAAGAATTATAAATCCAACAAATAATTTTCTTTAAATTTTATGAATACCAACTTAGAAATGTATACTAGAAAAAAAAATTATATATTCATAGATTTTGATAAATATCATTCAATTCATAATAAAATATAGAATTGATAAAAAAAAAAGCAATTATATATATACTAAGATGTAAATGAATTTGTAGAAAAAATAAACATAATATTTTCAATATATCAGGCCTTTTATATTATTTATAGGAATCCAATTAAATAAAATTATATCATTTTTTAGTAATTATAATATATCTATTAATTGCTAATGTAAAATAAAAATATTAAACCTGAAAAATTAAATATATTTATTTTTTCATATTTGTTATAACAAACAAGGAAAGACAGTATAAAAAAAAAAAAATATAAATTTTTTTTCTATTTACAAGATATCGACCATGGTATAGTAAATAATATTTCAGGTTCTCTATAATTGAATCTTAGAAAATAAAAATAATAATTAAGCATATTTTATTCTGTGAGGACAAACTCAATGATCAATCAAATCGTTTGAAAATATTTAAAATTTATTTATTGTAATAAATATATTAATTTATATATACAATTGTATTAAAAAATATGAGAATATGTTTTGTTTAAAAAA